CGGCTCGCTTGTTCGTTATAAAAAACTTCCAACTTCAATTTGTAGTCACTTAAAATTCTTAATTCCTATTTCACAACTTCTTCGTTAACAAGTTTAGAATACTTGATTGCGCCTCAGGAAATCTGCTTTCAAAATAAATTGCAAGTGTAATATACAACTAACGCGGAATTTTTCACGAGTAGATGGCTTGGAGACAGCGAGCCTAATTTGAAGTGAAAATGATGCATTCATCTCTGTTGAGTGAAAAGTTAAAATTGTCCTAGCAATTACACTAAAATTTACTTGTCACCAAAGTTGTTCTTTAACAAAGCATTTATTACCTGTCACAAACACGCAAAAAAGGGTTGAATATGCAGATTCCGTGCATTTGCTAATCCCTGTTTTAGCTTCATTCGCGTTTTATCTGACACTGATGCAGAGGAAACTTGCATGAGAGACGACGAACGATTTAACTTCCGATATAAATGTGTTGTATTCGGTGAAAACGTTTAATTTAGGAGTCGGAAAGAGGATGCAGAAGCTGAGGAGTAATGCACTGTGCATAAAAGAACAAATTGTGGATGAAAGTCTGGTCGGTGCATTGAGGATTTTCACCAGAAATATCTGATATTTTCTGCTTACTTTATGTCATGCGAGCGAAATGGATTGAGTCTACTTTAGGAATAAGTTTGTCGTTGAGATGTAGTTCTCAAATGAAACTGTTATTGCAGAACAAAATGTTGACTCGTGCTTGGGTTTATTAAATGGGTGATTCAGTTCTGTAATAGTTGAATGAATAATAATTTTCAAATTGTTAAAAGCAAACACGAACGCAAATCCAGTGATTGCATGTTCATCATTACTAAAATGAATTTGAAACTTCAATATTTAAATAATTATTGGTTGGTTGATAAGAGAGAAAGTAAATTGAGTTTTGTTTGAAAAGTGCTTCGTAAAATTTATTATTTTATCATCATGTTTATTACATGAGGATAATTGACGACGCAATTTATTGAAATTATAATTATAAATTTACAATAAATGTATATTTAAATAACATTGTTTTGGAATCCTCGAAATAAGTTCAGGAACCTTCAACGAAAAACATGCACATTGGTTGTAATATTTATACTATGAGGATCAATGTGCAAATTTTTCAAATTTTTGAGTGGACTACAAAAAATTCTAATGAATGAAGTTTCATTTAAACTATAATATCAAGTTTTACATGTCAAGCATCAAAGAAATGGAGTAAAACTAAAGAAAATTTTTATTCTGCATCGAATTACCATAATTTGTCGACGTTTTCAGAGAGGACCTTAGATTTTAGATTTTTTTTTTAACATACCGGGACTACTTTACTGAAAATTCGTTGAAATACAATCAAACAAATCCAGTTTTTTAGAAAGAAATTTTCGATAGAGATTATAGTCACAGTGTAAGAAAAAAGTGGCAAACTGTGGATGTGCCTAGAGTGGAAACTCAAGACGGCTTCATAAACCATAAATACAGAAGTACGTTATTCAATAAAATTCGAATAGCACTGATCACACAAAACTTTGCGGTGACGTTATCAAAAACGAAAACGTCTAGGAAACATGTTACCATAAGGTAACGGTTACTTTCATGTTCATAAGATCCGGATGTAAAAAAAAAATGAAATTCCTATTTTAAAACTTTAGAAATTTGAAAAAATTAAAAATCGCAGTGTTGGTTATTATTATTATGTGAGGATTCTGAAAATGTTTAAAGCAAAAGAAATCCAAAGTATCTTAAATTTGGAATCTTGCAGATTTAGATAAAGCTAGAAAATTTAACAATATCAAAATTTCTAAAAAATTTTCGATGGTAATTTACAAAGATCTCAGCACACTTTAAAATCGCAAAAATTCAAAAAATTTCAAATACCTAAAATTTCTGCATTTGCGAAAATTTCAAAAATAACGAATAAAAATCGACACATACTAACAATATCAAAAATTCAAAGAAGATTAACAAAAGTTGGAAAATGGCAACAAAAAAAATATCACATCAAAAAATCCTTAAATCCAAAAAACAACCAAAATCGCAATGATCTCAGAAACCAAAAACTTTATTTAAAAGCACAAAAGTTCAAAAATACAATGTCTTAAAAGTACTTATTTGGAAATCTGAAAAATTGCAAAAGATAAAAAAAATTAAAAAACCCTGAGTGAAAATTTTCAAAAAGCTTATAAAGACTCCGAAAGCCGCAAAATCACTCAAATTTTGAAAAACTATAAAAAAAAATGAAAAATTCTAAAATTAAAAAAATCTTTAAGTAATTTATAAACAGAAAAATGTCATAATCTCAAACAACAGAAAACATTAAATTGCTGTTAAAATTTTAGCAATTCGAAAAATTAAAAATCTCAATATTGTTGTTCTAAACTTTCTGAATATCTTTAAATCAACAGAAAACTAAAATACGGATATCTTGGGTTTAGAAACCCAGTAGGTTCACATAAAACTAGGAGATTTAAAAATTTCAAAGGTTCTGAAAGTTCTAACAACCCAAACAATTTTAGAAGATTTAGACTCTAAATTTTGCAAAAATTCATTCCTAAATGTTATGAAAATTAAAAAAAAACGAACGGTGCAGATGATCTAAAATTTTGACACTCACTAACATTATCAGAAATTCAAGAAGCTTAAAAAAAATCATAAAGACTTAAATTCAAAAAAATGCAAAACTCCCAAAGATCTCAAAATGTGAAAAATGTCATATAAAAAGCACAAAAAGTGCAAAAATCTAGAATATTTTCAAAATGTCTACAAAGTCCGAAAATATGGAAAATGTCACTTGGAAATTAAAAACCTGAATGTTCTAAACGAAACTTTTCAAAAAGATTGTAAAAACCTCAGGAGTTCGATTTCTCGATTAATTGGTTTTTCGACTTTTCGATTGTTTAATTTTACCAATAATCTATTTTTCGATGTTTCGATTTCTCAATTTTTTTTCAAGTTTTTGATTTTTTTAAATTTTTGATTTTTAGACTTTTCAGTTTTCCGATATTTCAGTTTTAAGATTTTTCAGTTCTTTCGTTCTACAATATTTCAATTTTTCCATTTTCCAATTTCTCAATTTTTCTATTATAATTAATTATAATATTCGGAATTTTTAATTTTTAGATTTTTCGGTTTTTCAATTTTTCAATTTTTCGATCATTCAATTCTCGAATTTGGAAATTTTCGACTTTTCGATTCTTTATGGTAATTTTTTTTAAATTTTGCGATCCGGAGCTATCCGATTTCTCAATTTTTCGACTTATTCACTTTTCGATTTTTCGATCTTTTCATATTTCGATTTCTCGATTTTTTTATTTTTCAATTTTTCGATTGTTGAATTCTCTGATTTGGAAATTTTCGACTTTCAGATTTTTTTTATGGTAACTTTCTTTAATTTTTCGACCTGGAGCTATTCGGATTCCTCAATTTTTCGAATTCTCCACTTTTCGATTTCTCGATGTTTCAATTTATCAACTTTCCGATTTTTCGATTTCTCAGTTTGACGATTTTTCAATTTTTTAAAATTTACGTATTTATATTTTTCATTTTTTCGTGTTGTCTTGTTAAAAATCCAAAAATCTAGAATGTTTTCAAAATATCTGAAAAGCCAAAAATTGTGAAAGTCCGAAAATCCCGAAAGTATGGAAAATGTCACTTGGAAATTAAAAATGTGAAAATTTTCAAAAACCCCAGACGTTCGATTTCTCGATTAATCGGTTTTTCGACTTTTCGATTGTTTGATTTTTCATTTTTCAATTTTTCGACTTTTCGATGTTTCGATTTCACGAATTTTTTCAAGTTTTTGTTTTTTTAAATTTTTTATATTTCAAATTTAAAATTTATCAGTTCTGTGGTTCTACAATATTTTAATTTTTCGATATCCCGTTTTCTCAATTTTTCCATTGCTCAGTTCTCCAATTTTGAAATTTTCGACTTTTCGATTTTTTTAATGGTGTTTCTTTTTATTTTTCAATCAATTCAAAATCGTAACATACCAAAAATATGAAAAATTAAAAGAAGTTTAAAAAAATTAAAAAAAACAACACAAAAGGATGACAAAAAATTCCCAAAAACAAAAAACCTAAAACCCACAAAAACGCAAAACTACAAATCGTCAACTATAGCAAAAAGTACAAAAAGTTGAAATAGCTAATAGGTATGATGCCTTAAAAAGATCCAGAAACTGCAGAACTACCTAAAAATCTGCATGTTCTAAACCAACATTTTCAGAAGCCTTGTAGAGAAGTCAGTATTCTCAAAAATTACAAAATTCCAAAAATCCGAAAATCTTGAATAACCATTCAAGATGTCTCCTTGTGAAAATGGAAAAGCTCCGCACTACAACACATACGATTTTTTTATTAAAGAAGAATTGACAGCATGGCACCCTGGAAATGAAAATTTTACCACAAAACATCTAAACAAATGGGAATTTATTTCTATCGGAAAAATCATAAAACTCTTGGCAACTTTTTCAATCAAAAATTGCTGGTGCAAAAAAAATATTAGAAACCTGTACGAAAACCACTATTTCTACTATTATTTTACTAAACTGATAAAAGTGCCACCGTCCAGTACATCTTCTTAGTTCCCCACATCATAATCGCAGCAACCCCTAAAAAACCAGTTGATATTTTTTCCGTTATTTTGTTTGGTTTTATCAGATCTCCCCATCGACGCGAAGAATTAACTATGGCACATTTTTCCGGAGCTCGGGCCCCCAAAACCCGTTATGTATGTTCAATGACTCTGTTGTGACGTTTTAATGAGCTAAGCGATAATTTCCGCAAATTTATAGTACCCCAGAACACGAATCTGCTGCCAAGAGATATTTATTTTTGATTTGGGGATTCTTTTCAATCGCTGCCCCGCCGCACTTCCACACGACTTCGGATGTTTTCGTCCGCCGACCGTCGCCTTTGTCGCCGGACCATTTCCATACCCCGAACCCACCAAGAAAGCTACAACAACCTCTGAAAGTGTGTCTTTTTCAGCCCTTCCCCGCCGCCACCGGTGCAATGGACGTTGACGCAGTCGGCAGAGGGTTGGCGCCATGAGCCATGCGTTGGGGCAGCTGGGGGGCCGCTCTGGGGCTCGCCGGACTGCTCGCGGTCGCTGTCGCGCTGCCCCCTGTCGTTAAAATAGGTGAGTAGAGAGATGTGCGTTAGAGCGTTGTTAAGCCTGCCGTAAAAAATCTGCAAGCTGGCGCTAGGTGGTTGCGTGTAAATTATGTGCGACGAGGAAGCCGAATTAACGGGGAATTAACGGCGAATTAACGGCAGTTGGAGAGGGAAAGCGCGCTCGTAAAAATCGCGACGGGCGAAGATTTTTATCGCTGCGACGGATAGGTGTATTAGCAAGTGTACTTTGGAGATTGTTCTGACTGATTTTGGGGGAAAAGGGGCCGTTTGCTGGCTCAGGATGATTTGGTTTAACGTTGCGCGTTTACGAGCATGTCGCAGTTGACACTGATATACAGCGACTTCCGGCTGAATTTGTTATCATCAGTATTATTATTATCAATATTAACATAAATGAGCACAGGCGGGAGCGTGTTTTGTTCACCTGAAGGTACACGCAAGAGCAACTGGTGCTGTTTATTGTTGCTTCCGTGGAGGAAGTGCTTTTGTTGTCATAAACTGAATTAGAAAATAAGGTGGAGAGTGTCCTAATTTTTTAATAGGTCAAGCCATTCGCGTGCGACCTTGATTGTGCTAGTCTTCTCATCCGAACACTCTTCATTATTAATCTAGGTAGACGTTAAAGGAATATTCTTGCAGGTACTTGATGTTTAGTTCAAGGCAGACAGAGCTGAACAATTTGATGTCTGTGCTCACTCCTGGAATAATTGTCACTCATTCTAATTAAAGCTTTTTTTATCCCATTTATTACATTACTGCGCTCGACGACAGTGGATTCAACTTTATAATCATAATTTTTATTGTTAACAATTGTTGCAAATTCTCTTGTCCTTGACTCTGATGGACGTTTCATCAACTACACTATTCCAGGGCGATAAAGTCTGTTATGTGAAAGCAACTGAAATTTCCGTTTCCCGAGTGTAAATTATTGTCAATTTTTTTATGTATGTTAGGAGTATCTTGTAGAAGCTAATATTCTAAAAAAAATAACGTCATCTCCAAATTTTACAATAGTAAATGATACTTAAGTTTTTAAAATAACGTACTGATTTCTACGCTTCAAAATTTTCGATTATTCGATTTCCCAATTTCTGGATTAATCCTTGAATTTTTGGACTTTTCAGTTACTCCATTTTTTTATTTTTCGATTTGCTTTTCCCGTTTATCGATTTCTTTTTCTATTTCCCGATTTCTGTATTTTTCAGTTTTTCAATTATTCAGTTTTTTGACTTCTCAGGTTTTTCGTTTTCCAGTGTTTCAAATTTTTTAATTTCCTGATTTTTGTATTTTCAGATGTTTCTGTTTTGGGATTTTTCAATTTATGATTTCTTAATGTTTCATTTTTTCGATTTTCAAAATCTTAGGTTTTTCGATTCCCCGATTTTTCAATTTTTAGAGTTTTCCTTTTTTGGATTTTTCGATTTCATAATTTATTGGGATTTAGAACTTTCGATTTTTCGATTGTTCAGATTCTCATTATCGACATTTTATGTTTTAGATTTTCAGTTCTTTCATTTTAATCTTTAAAATTTTTCGATTTTGGGCTATTTCGATTTCTCAATTTTTTAATTTTTCGATTTTCCAATATTTTGTCATTTCTGTTTTGGAATTGTTCAATTTCTTGATTTTTCAGTTTTTAGATTCGTCTGTTTTCCAGATTTTTCAATTTTTGATTTTTTAAATTTTGGATTTTTCGAGATCTCGATTTCGCAGCCTTCAGCTATTCGATTTTTGAATTTCAAATTTTTCAATTTTCAATATTGTAATTTTTCAATTACTTAAGGTTTTCCGATTTCTCCACTTTTCGGTCAATCAGTCCTTGGATATATCTAGTTTTCAATTTCCCGAATTTTTAAATTTTAAGGTTTTCAGTTTCGATTTCCCGATTTTTTAGTTATTCGATTTTTCAGTTTTCCGCTATTTCAGTTTTACGATTTTTCAATTTTTCGTTCGTTTAATTTTTGATTCCTCAATTATTCGATGTTTTAACTTTTGGCGTTTCTAAATTTTCTAGTTCTAGATTTTTTGATTCTTTGAGTTTGCTTTTCTCAACTTCTCGATTTTTCAGTTCTTCGGTTTTTCAAGCTTTTGATTTTTAAGTCTTTTTTTGACTTTTCGATTTCTCGATTTTTGGTTTGTCTTTTTTTCAATTTTTCGATGTTTCATTTTATGGATTTTGCAATTTACGAATTCTTCAATTTTTTCTTTGATTTTTCAATTTTTCGATGCTTCAGTTTTTGGATTTTTCAATTCCTCAATTTTTCGAGTTTTAATTTTTCGATTTCTCCATTTTTTCCTGTGTCAATTATTCGATTTTTGAGTTTTGGATTTTCCAATTTTTTGATTTTTTTCCATTTCTCGATTTTTCAATCGATATTTAAATTTTTCAATTTTTGAAATTTTTGATTTTACGGTTTCCCGATTTTCTAATTTTTCGTGGATATTTCCATTTTTCGATTTTTATAATTTTTAAATTTGAGATTTTCAGATTTTTGAGGCTTCGCTTTTTCAATTTTTCGACTTCTAAAATTTTTAATTTTTTGGTTTTTCAAATTTTCATTACTCGAATCATCAAGATTTAAAGGTTTCGATCTTTCGATTATTCAATTGTTCAATTCTTCGATTTTTCATTTTTTTTTTAATTTTATATTTTTCGATTCTACAAATTTTGCATTTTTCGACGTTTCTGCTATTCAATTCGATTCCGCGATTTTTCAATTTTTCCATTCTTTGTTTAAAAAAAAATAATTTTCAGTCTTTAAAGCTCAATTTTTTAATTCTTCGATATTTCCCTTTTATCAATTTTTCTAATTTGCGCATTTTTGAATTTTCAGTTTGTCTTTTCAATTTTTCGATTTTAGGTTTTCGATTTTAAAACTGGATGTTCCGATTTTTTGACTTCTCGACTTTTCGAGTTTTAAAATTTTTCGGCCTCTCGATTTTCACATTTCTCAATTTTTTCAAGTTTTCGATTTCTCACTTGTTCATTTTTGTTTTGGAATTTTTCAGTTTCTTGATTTTTCAGTTTTTCGATTCTTACATCTTTTGATTTTCCAATTTTTCGATGTTTCGATTTTCTAATTTTTCGGTTGCCCAATCTTTAGCCATTTCTGTGATAAAAATTTTCACTTTCTTCATTTTTCAGTTTTTTGGTTTTGGGCTTTTCGATTTTTGAATTTTAGATTATTCAATTTCTGTAGTTTTCGATTTTTCGCGTTTTCGATGTCTCGGTTTTTCGATTTTTCGACTTTTCTGGTATTCGATTCTTCAATTTTTCGATTTTTTGATGTTTCCATTCCCCGATTTGTCAATTTTTCGATTCTTTGTTTTTAAAAATATTTTTTAATTTTCAGTTTTTATTAAAGATGATTTTTTTAATTCTTCGATATCTCTCTTTTAGTAATTTTTCTAATTTTCAAATTTTTGAATTTTCACTTTTAGGTTTTCGATTTTAAGACTAAGTTTCTCGATTATCACATTTCTCAATTTTTTCAAGTTTCGATTTCTCACTTTTTCATTTTTGTTTTGGAATTTTTCAATTTGTTGATTTTTCAATTTTTCGATTCATACATCTTTTGATTTTCCAAATTTTGGATTTTTTAATTTAGCGCTGTTTCGACTTTTCGGTTTTCCGATTTTCCAATTTTTCGATGTTTCGATTTTCTAATTTTTCGGTTGCCCAATCTTTCGCCATTTCTGTTTTAAAAATTTGCACTTTCTTCATTTTTGATTTTTTCGATTCTTCAATTTTAGATTTTTCAAATTTTGAATTTTACGATTTCTCGATTTTTCAATTTTTGCGGTTTTGGGCTTTTCAATTTTTGAATTTTAGATTTTTCAATTTTTCAATATCTTAATTTTGCGATTTTTTAAAATTTTTCGATTTCCCGATCTTTCGACTATTCAGTTTCGAATTCTCGATCTTTCGATTATTATTGTATTTATGAATTTTTTCACTTTCCGATTTTTCTATTTTTCGATTAATTAATTTTTTATGCTTCAATTATTATTCGATGTTTTAATTTTTTTTAATTTTTGGTATTTCGAAATTTTCGATTTTTCGATTTCTCTATCATTTGATTTTTCGATTCTTTGATTTTACTTTTTATCGACTGTTCGATGTTTGGATTTCTGGACTTCCTGATTACTCGACTTTTGATTTTCCAATATTTCAATTCTTCAAGTTTCCAACTTTTCAAGTGTTTGATTTTTCAATTTTTGGATTATTAAATGTTCGATTTTTCGTTTTTCAAATTTTTCAGTTTTTCAATGTTTTAATTTTGAGATTTTTCAATTTTTCCGTTCGACTATATTACAAGTTTTCGAATTTTCGACTTTTAAATTTTAGTTTTCTTGATTTTTCGAATTTTTAAATGTTAGATTTTTCGACTTTGATTTTTTCGATTATTTAATGCTTGGATTTGTCGTTTTTCCATTTTTTCGATTTCTCGATTTTTTAGTTCTTCGACTTTTCTGTTATCCAATATTTCGAATTTTTTTATTTTTAGATTTTTCAGTTTCGACTTTTTGATTTTTTTTAATATAAAATTTTATCTTTTTTCAATTTGGAGCTACTCGTATTAGATTTCTTAAAATTTCGGTTTCTCCCTTTTCGATTTTTCATATTTCGATTTCTCGGTGTTTCAATTTTTTAATTTTTCGAATTTTTACATATTTCGATTTTTAATTTTTTCGTGTTGTCAATCTTCGATCGAATTATATATGTATTTTGAAATATTGTGTAGATAGTAAACCCTTAACTAAAATTTTGTCGTCACCAACAATTTGACGACATTACCTCAAAAAATTGCCTGGCAAATGCTATTTAAAATCTATAAAATAACATATTCCTGTACTTGCGGTTTATGAATCCGTTTTAAGTTTTTACCCTTCTCATCTAAAAATCAAAATTTTATTACAACTTACAGCCAAGGTCGCAGATTCGATCCTCTACCTCTTTTTTTCTTACACTGACTGGTAACAATTCTTTTTCGAAAAGACTAA